CCACAGTTTTCTCCAGGATGAGTTTAAAGTCCAAAGTTTTACATATTCTCAGCCCTTCTCAATGAGGTCGACGTTATGAAGGGCACTGAAATGTTTTTTTCCTGAACTCCTTCAGTGTCAAAGATGTCTCTTCAATGACATTAAAATACCTGGTGAAGAGCACCTTTGTGTACAGCTTCCTGAAGTTGCAGATCACTTGCTGGTCCATGGGCTGTAGGAGAGGTGTCATGCTTGGCAGGGGCTTGACATTTAGTAAATCATGCTCAGCATCCATATCATCCATCAAGGCTGGAGGATATGCAAGAGTACTGTCCATCACAAGAAGGTACCTTTCAGGCAGTTGGTTGCCAAAAAGATATTTCTTAATGTTTTGTAAACACTCATGCAGCTTGGCCCTCCACATGCTAGGTAGTCTGGTGTTGTTCATATTCTATTCTTTGAATGCATGAGGGATTTGGGAATGGTATACCAGTAGTGGCTTAATCTTTGGCTTGGCAGTTGTGTTCACACACAGAACAAGGATTGATCTGTCCTTCATGGCCTTATAGCCCCAGAGTGCCTTTTACTCCTGATTGATATAGGTTCGTTTGACATCTTCCAAAAAAGCCCTGTTTCATTGTAGGTTTCTATAGAAGCCTTGTCAGAACTAGAGACCTCAGCATGTCTTATCACACTGTGGAGGCTGCTTCTCTTGTGAAATTTATCGAATCACCCTCTACTGGCTTTAAAGTCATCACTTGTTGCTTTGTAGAGGAGTTTTCTTGCAACAAATCATTGTGCAATTTCCCGACTTTTTCACAAATCACAGCTTCACTAACACTATCACTTGCTAGCTGTTTGTCATTCAACCACACTAACAAAAGTTTTTCCATCTCTTCTAGCATTGCATCCTCAGCCTGGTTAGCATCAGGACTCCTTTTGCCATATTAGCTCTATCAATGGCATTTTTGTTCTTCAAAATAGTTGAGATTGTTGATTTTGCCATCTTGTACTCCAAGGACAGATCAGTCACAAGAATACCATACTCATACTTTTCTACAATTTCCTTCTACAATTCAATTACTATTTTCTTCAAAACTTTCTTACCAGTCTTGCTCTGAACTTCATTATTGCTCTGCACATTCTTTTATGCAACCATACTTGGTCTTCACTTTCTTTGGATCCATGCTGGGTTGACTGATACTTTACAATACGTATATGCTACAAAGCACACAAAAAAGTTTCACAGAAAATTTCACAGGTCTGTCTGTGACTGAAGTCTCAACTAGAGGAAACCACCACATGTCAGAGTGGGGAAGATGTCTGTATTCATGTCCATGTAGGGAAGATGGTCAATGTCAAGTTTGTCACCCAATGCGCAGTTCGTGAACAGAAGCAAATTTCTGCCAAACACTTCTGTTCATGTATCAAATTGTTCCTGAACAGAAGCATTCATGAACTGAGGCATCACTGCGTGATGTCAAAGTGAAATAGTGAAGATGAGTAAAGATAAATTCTGGAGTTCAAAAGAAATACAATTAGAAGGGCTGGGAATTTAGCTCGTGTGGTAGCAGTGCCTGCCTGGCAAGCATGAGGTCAAGTCTTGATACCAAAACAAAACAACAACAAAATTAGAATGAAAAATTCACTAAATGCTGAACATAATAGTACGTGTCTGTTCTTCCAGTAATCTGGGCGACTGAGGCAGAAGGTTTGCATATGGAGCCCAACTTGAGCAATTTAGGGACTTAGTGAATCCCTGCCTCAAAATATAAACTAACAAGCACCAGAGATATGGCTCAGTAGTAGAGTGCCCCTGGGATCAGTCTACAGCACTTCGGAAAGAAAGAAAGAAAGAAAGAAAGAAAGAAAGAAAGAAAGAAAGAAAGAAAGAGAGAGAGAAAAACTCATTAGATTGCACAAGAGTAGATTTCAAACAGGAGAATAAAAAGCTAATAAATTTGTCAACAGATTGATAAAGGTTACAAACTCTGAAATGCAGTAAGAAAAAAATGAAAAATGAAGGACAAAATGGAATGGATATGGTAGTGTACATCCATAGCCCTAGCACTCAGAAGGCTGAGGCAGGAAAATCTGCACTTTAAGGTCAGACTGAGACATACAGAGAGACCCTATTCCAAAAAAAATAAATAAATAAAAGAGTGAGACAGGAGGATCACTCTTTAGTTCAAACCCAATCGAACCCAGATAACATAGCAAGACCTTGTCTCAAAAAAAATTAAGGCTGGAGATGTAACTCAGTGCAAAGGCTATGGATTCAATTCCCAGGACTGAAAAATGACATGAAATATAGTCTTTGATAAGTCAGAGAAAGAATGTGTTGCTAGTAGATCCACATTACAAGAACTATTAAAGTAAGTTATTCTTCAATCTGAAAGCAACTAAATCCATAGTGTCCCTTCTATATTCACAGGAGATACATTATAAAACTATCATGCCTGAAACCAAAGATAGTACCAAGCTCAATACAGTATATGCTCTTGATACCATGTGATGGATCCAAGAGATAGGTTCCAGGTTCTTGTGCACAATGAGCAAAGTATTGCAAGAGTATATCCAATGGTACAAGAAAAAGCAGCTACATATATTGAGGGTGACAGGAAGGTGTGCTCTGGGCAGGTCTATGTGAACCAGAACAAAAGGGTAGCATGAAAAGTAAAGTGGTACATGGATAACAGGCAAATAAGAACATACAGAAAAAATCAGGTTTTTGGATTTTTTTGAGACAAGGTCTTGTTTTGTAGTTCGCATTGGCCCTAAACTCATGGCAATTCTCTTGTGTCAGCCTCTTGCATATTGGGTTTTGGATTTTAAAATATATGCACCCCATTTTTGGTGCCTCCCATTGGTTCTTTATATAAGATTGACAGGAATGATTGACAGCATGCTGAGTCATTTAGGAACACCATGTACACCCATGCCTGTTTCAGAATTCACTCTGATTAAATCATATCCATTAGATGCAGTTCATATGGATGAATCCTTAATGAAGTTCAAATGGGGAAAAGGTTACTGAAGGTCAGGCCAAGAGATCTGTTAGGCATGTGCCATGGCTTGGAGCTTTAGAGATTTCCTGGGTCCTTGTTATTTTTATTTATAGCTTCTCTTAGGACAATGGAAGGAGGATTGGCTCCGGGATATTGCCCAAATTAGGGTAGAAGAATGGGGAGTAGTCTCTTCACAGATTCCATTTCCTTTGTTCACAGTTTCTTAGATTTTTTTTCAATACTGGTGATAGAGCCCAGGGCTACTCTACAAGCTATATTTCCAGCCCTTTGTATTTTTTATCTTCAGACAGAGTCTCACTTAGTTGCTTAAGCCAGGCTCAAATTTACCATTCTCCCACCTCAGCTTTTCCAGTGCTGGGATTACTGGTATACTTCATTATACCTGGATGAAGAATAATTAACACAAATTTTAGCAAATTGAGAATGTCATTTTTTCCTAGTAAGTTGAGAACTCTCACCCTTCCACTTAATTTCTGAAGAGAAAAAAAAATAGAGGTAGTGCAAGGTAGTTACCCTAGGAAGTCAACCTCCATGTCAGCTGAATGGAGTTTTAGGCCCTCTTTGGTCAATGATGCAGCTGTTTTTGTTGTTGTTGTTTGTTTTTCAGATAGGGTCTCTCTCTGCAGTTCAAGCTGGCCTCTAACTATTTAGTCCAGGCAATCTACTTGCCTTAAATTCCCAAGTGCTGGAATTACAGGCCAGAGCCACCACTTTGCAATGATGCAGCCCTAAATTCTTAATAAAGTTCTAAATTTAGAAAGTGACCCTTCATTTAAAAAAAAACAATTGCCATGTAAATTACAATGTAAATAGTATATAGAACTCAAACATTTTTTCTTTCATCAGGTTTCAGCTTCTATCAATTCTTTTGGTCAAGGCATTGAGTGAGAAGGGGAGGAAAAAGGCCCAGTTTACTATATATATATATATATGTGTGTGTGTGTGTGTGTGTGTGTGTGTGTGTGTATGTGTGTCAGTTGCTATACAAACCCTTTTGGTCACTGATTGTTTAAGTAGCCCAATAGTAAAAGTCAACTTATATATTAAATAAATAAATGTAGTACTGAACTTGTAAAGAGCAAACTTCTGATTCAGATATTTTTGTCTCTTTTGAGACAAGGTCTTGCTATGCAGATCAAACTGGCTTTGAACTCATTTTGGAGTCCAGGCTGGTCTTGAACTTGCAACCATCCTCCTGCTTCAGCTTCCTGAGTGCTGGGATTACAGGCTTTTGTCTGGCAATATCAGATTTCTTATGGACATGTAACACATTAAAATGTTTGGTTTGTCAATTCTGGTGGCCCACCTCTGCAGCCCCACCATTCCTAAGACTGAAGTACTTAGCAAAAATCTGTCTCAAAAGAAAAAAAAAAATCCCTTGGCTAATGTAATTAGGCAATATTTGAAAACAATATAAAACTAATTTATGGGAATAAGACAGATCTGGTGGTGAACTTTCAGAAGAGGGAAAATGCCTCAAGGCTAACTGCGAAATTCTCAGGAAGTTTTCAGCACCAGTGGATACTTTAGCCCTTTGTAACAATATTAGTACAAGACTGGTTAAGTACAGCATTTCCACTTAGTACAGAAATAGGAGAAACAAAATAGCTTTTTGATGCTTGAAGGAAGCAGTAGAGTCAAGTCAGCCCTTCACAGATTTCTCCAGATCACCCCAGAAGGAAGGGTCCTCTACCGGAAACAGCCACAGGAAGGGCAAGCCACTTCGGAGCTCTGGGAAGCCAACACCACCACAGAGTTCTATGGCGGTTGCTAGAGCGTCCACCACCAGTTAGACCGCCTCCTCCTTCCCAGAACCGTAGCTAGGCAACTGTATTCCCCCGCGGAGACCAGAAGCCAGCAAACTGTGTTAGTGCCCCTGGCGGCAAACAGCGAGCCGTGCAAGGCTGTTTCACCGCTTTTACCTTCCCCTCTCTCCACCCCCTTTGCCCCCGCCCACCCCTCTGTGACTTGGACTCCTCCCTCCTCTTCTCTCTCTCACTCTCCTTCCTCCTCCGCCTCTTCAGCTCCTGGGCTAGAATATCTATGGGTCGAAACGTGATGCGATGAATCCGAGGGAGACCGAAACTGGGACGAGGAGTGTGGCGGAAGCAGCGAGACTTCCAGACATGGGGGCTTCACCACAATAGAAGCAGCGCCCCAACCCGCCCCCGTCAGCCCCTCTAGAGCAAAGCCCAAACCCCCTTGGGAAAAGGATGGCGGCGGCACCTACCCAGATAGAAGCCGGTGGGTAGCTGTGTCCCGGAGATAAGGGGATGGGGGCTTAGTGCCACAGCTGTCAATGTCTTTTGAAAAAGCTTCTATTTCTCTTCTATGCGTCCCTCTCAACCTCATTTCCCTCCTCTTCCTCAGAGCTGTATTACCTGATCGCTAGGTTCTTGCAGTCCGGACCCTGCAACAAATCCGCTCAGGTGAGGGGGAAGAGACCTGGGAGTCCTGGGGAACGGTCCCAGTGGGGGAAATAAGGACTGCGGGGTTACCAGTTCTTGAGGGTGAAGGAAAGGCCGGCCCTGACTAGTCCTACAGTCAGCGACTGGGTTCAAATTGGGGAAGGAGGAATGGGTTGACGGTCGGAGCTGCTCCTCATCCATGTTTCCCTTCTACTCAGGTGCTAGTGCAGGAGCTCGAGGAGCATCAGGTACGGAACCCCTTTGGGAAGGGGTGGGGAGAACCGGGGTGAGATTGGAGGAAGGGGAGGGAAAATCTAGGGTGGAGGGCAGGGGTTGGGAAGGTGGCTTTGATCCGGTCACCCATAGCTGTTGTCACTCGGGTGAACCGATTTCTTCTCTCAAAAGGGGTGAATGACGCTAGGCTCTTAATTCACCCCCTCTTTATGTTTATGGGAGGCAGTTTTTAAGGATATCCTCCCCTTTAGCCTCCTCTCAACTCGATAAGCTCTGAGGCAATTGCTGTTGGGACAAGAAAAATAAAGACTGCAAAGGGTCGAGGACCTGGACCCTAAGTGGGTCCCATTCATGGGAGCAGAGGCTTCACCTACATCATTGCCCCCCCCCCCCTTTTCCTTCGGCCCCCAGCTGATTCCGCGCCGCTTGGACTGGGAGGGGAAAGAGCACCGAAGAAGCTTCGAGGATCTGGTGAGTAAAGTTTTCATTTCAACTTAAACCAACTCTTTCTCTACTCCCTCCCCCACCTTGAACCTCTAACTCGGGCCCCGCACCACAGCACTCAGTCTGCAAGGCTCCTGAGCTTGGTGCGGAGCTGGAGAATGACTGTCCCTTCCCCCTTCCCGCGAGTTGGAGAAAGGGTACCTTGCCCTCCTCCTTGGCCTAGCTTGTTTCCAGCCTAAAACTTTGAAGAATGTAGGTTTATTATCAGAAGTGCGGTACTGTGGATTATGAGTATGATGCAAACATCGAGGAAGGCCCATTGTAGGGGGAAAAGGGAGAGAAATCTGGGGGTTATCTTGGGGCACGTACCAAGGATTGACGCTGGCCAATGGCAGCGTCTGTAACAGCCCTGAGTTCCGGATTAGTGGAAGAAAACTCTTTTCTGGTTGGTCCTGGCTTGAAATACGGGAACTGAGACTAGGCTTGGTTCCCCCCCCCCACCGCGTTTTTTTTTTCCTTTTTTTTTTTTTGAAGGGGGGAGAACGGGCTCAGCAGGGGAGTTGACTGACCATGGACTGGGAAAAACGACACAATTAAAACTAATAAGGAACATCGAGTGAATTCCATATTTGCCAGTTTTAGATAATGAACTACTCTATCGAATAAAACCATATCGTTTAATATTTCATATTTTAGAAAACAGTTTATTAATCATGAGTGAATCGCATTTGGACAGAAGCATTTAATGAAATAGAAACTATAAATTATAACCTTTTTGAGAACTGATAAACACGATTTTACTAGGAGACAATGGGCCTCTTTTAAAATAGAATATACTTTAGTAAAAGACCAAAGCAAATGGAAAGACTGTTGTTTCTCTTGAAAATATAATTTATAATGTAAATGCACCCACTGTTCAACATTGATAAAAAGGTGGGCCTTTTTATTTTGAGTAGGAGGTTCTCTTGTGTTAGTCACAGGCACAGTGAATTGTACCGTAATGAAAGAAGAAAAGGTTGATAATACTAAAATCTAAATCATCTATCTTCAAATAAGGTCAAATGAAAATCGGACAAAGTTAAAGAAAGTTGGAGGAGTATGGTAGACTACATATAAACAAAATGATTTAAAATTTGCTTGCAGTGAGTATTTAAATTGGTTTGGTGTTCATTTTATTATTTCTCTTTGTGTATTATAACACCGAGCCAATGTTAATTATTATCAAATGTACTGACCAAGTGTTTTTCTTATATTTTTACAAATCACAAAAAATGGTATGAGAGCATTTATAAGGGTAAACTTGGCTATGTGTACTATTAATGGTAATTTTTCAGATGGAAAAAATTATTTTTGAAAAACTGTATTATCAGCTTATTTAATTTGTAGTCAGACTTTTTGATGGACCTGGCTTCTTTGCCTCTGCTAATATGTCTTAACACTGAATTAATATGGTTTTGAAAGTAGTTTTAATACTGAAGTATACCGAAAATGCTTTTGTTTCCATTTGTTCTTATCAGCCTATATGTTCATGCAGGCAGACCATTTTTAAGCAAACTGTAAAAGGATACTTTAATGGAAAAATTGTTTTTTAAACTAACTTGATGAAGCATTAAAGTAATTAAAAAGTTCTCACCATAAAATAAACAGTTCGCTAGATGTTTTTCTTGTTGTAAAGACAAATTTTCAAATAATTATAATCTGTCCATTTTATGCTTTATATTTTTCTGACAATACTTTTATATGTATTTACTAATGAGTTTCAATAGTCATCGTTATTTTAATAGTAAGAAAAAGTTCAGTTGTATTTAAGATGTATAATTTTATCCTAACTTCTCACTAAGTGGTTTTTTTTTTTTTTTTTTTTTTTTTTTACTGAGATCTTTACCTACTTAGATGATCTTATTGTGCCCTCTACCTGGAGACTTAACTTTCATGGACTTTATTTCCTAAAGTGGATTTCTCAACTCAAAGGGCCTCATCAATTTATAATAGCTTTTGTCGTATGTTGTCAGATTGTTCTCCAGTGCGTTGTACTAGTGTATAATGTCAACATGTAGGAACTTAGTGTGAGATTTTTTTTTTTTTTTTGAGACACGATTTCCCTATGTAGTTCAGCCTGGCCTTGAACTCACTATGCCCATTCTGGCCTGAGCAATCCCTCTGCCTCAGCCTTTTGATTGCTGGAATTATAGGCATGTATCACACCTGGTTTACTGTGAGATTTTTGTTGTTTTGTTTGGACCTTTTTTTTATTTTCTTAGGTGTGAATACTCCTTGTAAATTTAAATAGCTCTTTTTTCATTTTAATGAGATTTAACTTTTAACCAGTTTTTAAATTCTGAATCCTTTTGTATCCTTAAATAAGCTTGATTTTAACTTTTTATTTTTGTATTTACTGATTAGTTTTTGTTTTTATATTTCCATATACTTTTCTTCCAGTACTGGGTATTGATTCAGGATCATGTGCATGCTAGGCAAAAGCTCTACTGCTGAAGTATATGTATAGACCTTATATATGTAAAAAAAAGTTAAATACACAGAATTTCTTTAGTTGTTTGAAAATTATATATAGTTTAGATAAAATATATTTTTAATTCAATTTTTATATCATTCACTTAGGTTTTTGTTTTCTATATCAAACCCAAGTTTTCAAGACATACTAGGTTTTTTTTTTGTCTTTTTGAGAGAGGATTTCAGTATGCAATTCAGACTGGCCTTGAATTCACTTTGTGTCCCAGGCTAGCTTCAAACTCAGTGATCCTCCTGCCTCTGCCTCCCAAGTGTTGGGATTACAGTTATGTACTGCCAAGCCAGGTGTCATTTTCTTAAATTAGTGACGTTTTAATAGCACAAATTCAATAAAGGAGACCCAACCATAAAGCACTTACCATGGAAAGAAAGCAAAAGGATAAGTCAAACCTTTTTGATCATCAAAAGTTACCATTAAGAGAGTGAAAAAAATTTACAAAGTACAAGATATTTGCTTTATGTATTGTGTGTGTGTGTGTGTGTGTGTATACTATAAATTGATTGTCCTGTTTAACTTATTCTATCCAGAAGAATATTAAGGGTAAATTGAATGTCTTCGATACTTCATTCATCACTACTTTTGCTGTCATCTGTTCTAGAAATTTTCTGTTTTTTCTTAAATGATTATGTGATTTATTTTACTTGGTACACAAGAGAAAGTACGTTTTTGTTAAAGCTGCTGGCAGGCAAGTATTGACATGTTGTTCTGAGATGCCTTTAAACATGTCTGCACAATGATATGAAGACAGTTTATATTGAATTATATTTTTGTTTGTTTGTTTTGTTTTTCTTTTTTGTTGAAACAGAGTCTTGCTCTGTAGTGCAGGATGGCCTTGAACTCACTTATATACCCCAGGCTGGCCTTGAACTTTTGGTGATCCTTCTGCCTCAGCCTCCCAATTGCTGGAATTACGGGCGTGTGCCACCATGCCTGACCTGAATTGTAGTTTTTGGTTGTAGTAATTCAAAATGAAATTCTGAATTAAATTTTCAGGACTTTTTGTAATGATAGAGAAGTCATGATGATTGTTTTTCAAGTTTGATTTGGGTATTTTCTGCTTGCTAGTTTATTATTATTGACAACATAATAGTTTTGCCTTTTGCAATTTATATTTAGGTAGATAATGCAGACAGACGTCCTTTCATTTGTGGTTGCCCTATTGACTTTGTTGGTTATTTTATTACTTCCTTCTTGGAACTCTACCAGGGACCACAGAGAGTAATGGGTTGCAGCAGCACAAGTTTAAATGAACAGTTCTTATTAATATTTAAATTTTATATACTGAAAGAATGATGTAGAAGCTTGTTATAAGCCATAGCATAAGATTTTTGCAACATTTTAGCTGGGTATGGTGGTACACACCTGTGATTTCAGCACTTTGAGAGGCTGAGACAGGAGGATTGCTGTGAGTTTGAGGCCATCCTGGGGTACCTACTGCATTCAAGGCTACTCTGAACTACATAGTGAGACTCTGTCTCAAAAAAAAGGAGAAAAGATTTTGACACATTTTAAAAGGATTCCTATCATAAGACTGAAACAAAAATATAGTTATCTTTAGTTGTGGGTGTATTTTTACATTTTTTTCAGCATTTTTCATTCATAGAATTGAAAGCACTAGTTATGCTTGCCTTTGGTGTTACATAGGTTGTATTAACCATCATTTTAGATACAAAAGACTTGAATTAATGTAATGTCATTTCCCAAAAATCCTATTATTGAGATTATATGTTCATTATTTTTTTTCTTTTACTTTCTTTTTTTTTTCACTATTTTGAAGGTAGTAAAATATAACAAGACAGAACAAATCCAATTGAGACAGTGTAGTGAAATTGATATAGAACTCCACAGCAGGTTGCTGGGATAACATTAGTAGGTATCACAGTGTATCTCCTTATTTTCACAATAGTTGTTCTTTCAGTCACGTATAGCAAAATAAAGTTCATTTTTGTACAAAGAATATATATGTTGCCAGGTGTGGTGACACTCCTGTAAATCCAGCACTTGGGAGGCTGAGTCAGGAGAACTGTTTGCAAGTTTGAGACCAGCCTGGGCTATAAAATGAGCCCTAGGCCAGCCTAAACTGCATAGCAGGACCCTGTCTCAAAAAGACGAAAAATTATATATATATATATATATAATATTTGTGTGTGTCTCTGATGATAAGGAATTTGCATCTGCATATAAAACATTCAGATTTAAGAATGTTTTCATGTTATATAATTCAATCCACTGTATTGGAAATCCAGATACACTTCATATTCTTTTCTTACTCAGCTATTGTTCTCCAATTACTAGTAATGGTTTAAGTTGCTTATTAGAACAGCAGAATGATCTTCTTTTAATTTTTTCTTTTTGTCTTTTCGAGACAGGATCTCGCTAGGCAGTTCAGGTTGGTTTTGTGCTCACTTTGTAGTCCAGGTTGGTCTCAAAACTTGCAATGATCCTCTTGCCTCAGCCTCCCAAGTACTGAGATTATAGGCTGGTGCCACCACGCCCG